GTACCTTGCATTGGAGACATGCTTAAGGTCTAGTACAATAGTACCTAAAATGGTGCCCTTTGAGTCAACCACACAATACGCAAAATTGAACCCCTAAACAAATATTCATCTCAAGGAAATGATATGTCATTGAATCAATCCCATGGTCCTCACAAGACTTCAGAATAGGACCAGAACTTGATCATTGCTATGTAGTCCTTAATACCTCAAGACCAAGGACTTAAAAGAGAAATGGTCATCAACTAAGTTTCGTTGCGACTAATTGCATCGCTAATCTGCTCACAACCCAACATTTAAGTCAAAGTGTACCCTTGAAGAAAAGATGCCCATTTAGCTTGATGCTTTATCAAATTTCTTTGTGAACATGGTCAAAGTTTCACATAACTTCCCTCTAATGCCCCCAGTGTTTCAAAGCCTAAACCAAGGTTTTGAATACTGGTCCATATCGGCATACCGAGCTCTGCTCGGTACGGTACGCACCGGTATATACCGTTGGTACGCTAGGGCATACCGATGGTACACCCTAAAACCTTAAAAATGCCTTCACCTACCACGCTAGGGCGTACCGATCGGTATGCCTCGGTAACGGTCAAAATCTAAGGCGATACCGGTAGGTACACCTCGATACCGATCAAAACACTAGTACTACCCGGTAGAGGACGGTCCATGTACTAGTATCCTCTCGGACCGGTACATACCACCCGTACTGGGCGGTACACATCGAAATTGAGAACCCTGACCAAAACCATTGAAAAACTCAAGATTGTAAGCAACTGATCCACTCTCCTGACTCAATACAACACCTATTTGTACATGGTAGCATTGCAGTTAACCTCCAAGACCTATTAGTCTGAGAATGCTAATATCGGACAATTCATCAGCTTGATCTTAACAAGTTGAAATCTCATCTTTGCTTCTAGAGTCTAAAGATTACCAATGACAATGTGGGTTCACAGAGCAAAAATACAAACCAATGACAAGTAAAAGTGAAGCTAACCCATGACTGCTATGGACCTCACTAATTGTCTTAGGAGTAGACCAATTCTTCATGGATTCAACCCTTCGAGATTAATTTTGATACCTTCAACAAATCAATGTGTCCAAGAAATATTGGACTATTGATAAAAATATAAATTTCATGTTTATATAAAAATGTTGTGGGTTTGTATGACTATAGTGCTACAAAATTGTCTTCATGGATTACAGTGATACTGGAATCTTTGGACAGAAGCATGTATTCTGGTTTGATGCTAAACATGGATGAAAAGGTGCCATGGGTTGTAGAGAAGTAACCAATATGTGTGGGTGAGGATGACAACAATTGGTATGCGATAAAAGTATGGTTTGTAATACCGTACCATACCGCTCGATACGGGTGATACATACAGGTCCGATAGAGGACTGGTACAAGTGGTACATGGGTACACCTAAGTGTACCGTGTGTCGGTACGCTCTGTCACGGACTTAGCTGGTTTTGCCTAAGTCGCTAAGTCGTGCGGCACCCTTGCGTGTCCGTCCGCAAAGGTCAGCCTCCCCGAAACCTCCTATGGTCCCTGAGAAAATGGGTTAAAAAAACCGTTTCACTCGGGGTCCACAAGCAATCATTTTAACAAACACTTCATAACCAATGCAAATTACAAACATAGACTTCACAAGCTTTGAACGATTACACAACAAAGGGTCCAAAATGATCAATTACAGACCAAAATGCCCACAAGTGCCCATATGACACAACATTCGTTTACAATCCTAAAGCTACCACCAAAGTCAGCCAAAATGGGGCTACTAAGCCTACTGTCAGCCCTCTACATGTTGTGCAAAGCATGAACAAAACCAAAAAACACGAACATACATGAGCATTACATCAAACACCCTGTTTACAATTTTTTCCGTGACATTCTCCCCCACTTATTCCTCCGATGACTTCGTCAAAGCCTTTGCAGACGCTGCATCTCCTTACCTTTGCTAAGTCTCAATTTTCTACTCCGGCTACAATACACCTCTTGGCTCCCAGTTGCACTCCGTCGTTTGTGGAGGCAAAACAATGCACAGTTTGTTTAGCAATGGGAAGTAGTCTAAGAGGATGGTGATCTCCGAAACTTCCATAGGGAATGATGCGAAGAGAGAAGTTGCTCCAACGGGATAGATATCCAGGAGGGATAAGTCTCGATTCTCCAGAGGGAGAATCATGTGCAACGGACCGTACATGTTGAGGAGTATCTCAAGACAACTCCACAAAGCTCAACGAATCGAGCGAGCGACGAGGAGTCATCGCATGATCTCGCATGAGGTAATGTATTGGTGGATGCATTGCGAGATTAAGTGGGGGAGCGAACCAAGGCAACACAAAATGAAGGCACACATGGAGCCAATATGGAGATCGGACTCAATGGAGGGTTGACCCTGTGGAATGGTGGGCGCGAAGACCACCATCAACTCAATGCAAATCGAGGAGCGGAGCAACTTGGGTGTAACTTGGTGAAGTACCCAAGACGCATGAAGGGAGTCGGCATAGAAGATGGAACATAGAGCGGAGGCACGAAGTTTTTGTTGGACAAAGGTCAAGGACATGAACTCTTGCACAAGCAAGAGCGAGATCATGTCGTTCTATAGGTCTCTCATTCTGATGAAGCGGACTCATCCAGCATAGTGCCAAAGACGAAGCGAACTTCGAGGCACATGCACCTTCTCGAAGAAGCATTTGACGGAGGAACTAAGGCGACTCAACTTACAGAGACGAAGTTGGGGTCAAAAGGCCTAGGCACAGAGCAAGATGACACGAAGGCGAGTACTCTTAAAGAATATGTCGTAGTGCTGCCATTCGAGTTGCCATAAGGAAGCGGTGCGCAATGGAAATTATGTTGGTGGGGGCAGAGGCCCAGGATCCAGATAATGGTGCACCAATTTCAGCGAAATCAATGGACTTCGGGAGCTGCTAGACGGCGGACTGTCCTATAGCTATGCTTCGTCCGGGTGTGACCCAAGAGCAGGGCGAAGGTCGATTGCCAAAGGAGCAAACACGATCGAAGGTGACAAAGGCCCAACGATGTCAGCAGAGGCCACACATAGAGGGATCGTAGTCCGAGTTCATCCCATGATGATTAGAATGTAATGCAGATGTTACCAGAAGGTGACATGGTGTAATGGATCGTGGTAGAACAGTTCGAGGCAATGCGACACACATGGGACCAGTCCCGCGTGGGACTAGATCATATGGAGGTATGATCAAGAGCTACTGGGAGCTCCACTTCGGCGAAAAACACGACAATAAAAAGGGCTATAGATTCGAGTGAATGTCATGGTACCGCAGAGGCGGGTCTTCTGTGCGTGCATCGAATGAAAGCCCTGGTCATCAGCACATGAGGGCTGTGTACCACCGAAAGAGAAGTTTGAATGCAAGTACTAGTGAGTCCTATGGGGGACTTGATCATGCAGAGAAATGATCAGAGTGGCTGGAGAGTTGGACTGCCCCGGAGCTCATATTCGCTTAAGGAAGCCCGGCAAGTCAGAGGACAAGGCTGAGTAAATGAACATTGCTACCAAGGAAGCTAAGAAGAACAGAATTGGTGCGAGCCCGGCAAAATGATGGCGGAGGCCATACATAAGAGTTGCAATCTGTCTTTCCATTGACTAAGGGGAACTACTCGAAGAACACAGAGGTGTTGAAGCAGGTGGTCGAAAGGGGCAAGGAAGTAACAATGAGTCCAGATGGACTTAGCTACCCAAAACCAAGCATCAATTAGAATGGAGGTGGACTCGAAGGAGTAACACAGTGTCGCAAAGGCGGATCTACCGATCGCGAAGAAAGGGACGCAGATGCAAGGCGACGGATAGTAAGGCCATGGGCATGGCAACACCATGGTACCGCAGAGACAGGACTTCCGTGGAGTTATTGATCCCTTGCTCTCATGGGGGGAGAGCGCTTGTTGTGAAAGGGATTGAGGAGGTGAAGAATACAAATACAAACTCCAAGTACCGAGATAAGACTGAAGAGCAAATACCAAGGAACTTCGTAAGACCGGTGCCAACGAGCTTCTCATCAAGATAGCCGAAAGTAGAGGACTTCGGGTCGATGCAAAAGTGTTCGACTAAAGAACGAAGTAGGCAGTACGCGATGTTGTACATTTGCTACTCAAAGGAGTAGGCGGCTAAGATGATGGAGAAGACGGTACAATCACAGAGGCGACCAAAACTACTAGAGACTTGCTTCAAGTTGGGGTGAAAACTTCTTGCATTCCAGAAGTTAGATGGCATTGAGAAGGCAAATCATAGTAGCTAACTAAATGCAAGGGTGCCACACGACTTAGGCAAAATCAGCTAAGTTTGTGACAGCTCGGTACAGCTCGATATGTACCATACTAACAACTGATCAGTACATTGGTACGGTACGGTATTCAGAACCTTGGATAAAAGTATGTTAAAAATGTAATTTAAAATGCTGGCAGGCGACAAATATGTGTGAAATCGTATATTCTGACTGTTCCTAAGAAAGAACTTGAAATAATTCCAAACCGATGTAAGCATATTAGAGAACTGTCATTATAAAGAGAAGAAAAAGAGAAAGGAGGTAGAAGACCATAGTAGAAAAGATGGAGATTAGAAAAACTATGAATCTCATAAGTAGGAAATAGAATGAAGTGAAGGGCAATGAAGCTAAAAGACTTTAATAAGAAAAAGTCTGGACTAAAAGCAGAATCAAATAATCACTGTATAGAAGAAGGAATAAGTCAATATTTACATGCACCCAAAGAGGCTCAAAGCTGAGTTTATTCTCTCTTGGGGTTGGTTGCCACCTCAATTTTATTGAGGTTGACTGGGAGAGATATAATGATCAAATCCAGTTAGCAATAATATCTAATCGTTTAGAAAACAATTAAATGCCCCGTCGGTATAGGGAACAATTAAAAATCAGTTTTGATCAGTTAACAATCAAATCGTTTAGGAAATATATATTTACCTATCCATAGAATCCCTAGCTTGATTCTAGTGCTCCTAAATAAGACTAGAATAAAACGAGGAAGTTATTATCCATGATGAGATAACCTCCACATATAAGTGATCAAAGACTATACACTTGCATTATAATATAATACAAAATCATTTGAATATATATACATAAATGGTAAACCTCATAAAACACATAACTACAATAGATCAATAGTGGCAAATTCAATGTAATACATACTATGATAATATGGTGTGATGAAGATTAAAGTACCTGAAATCAAAACTTCTACATTTCAATTGATGAAAACTTTGATAGTTATGTACCCATGAAAAACAATCTATGTACTCAAGAACTGAAGGAACTCCCATTTATACATTTTGGTAGTCGGTTGTACCTATCTAGGTAGTTCGTTGTACCTATCAAGGATCTAGGCATATTTTGCTGCTCCATGCAAGAAGCAACTGAGGTACCAACAGCAGGCACTAGAACATGCCCACATGACAGCATGACACCCTGCTCCAGCATGGAAACCTGTGGTCCAAAATTTAGAAGCTAAAATAGCAACACAACAAGGCCATCCAAGGCAACAATGACCACATCTGTGGTGACAATGAGACATGACGACTAAACAGAATGGCAACTTAACTATAATAAGACTGGCAATAGAATTCACATACATAAATCTATAGCAACAATTAGTACAACCAAATCTACAAGGTCAGGCAACAAGTGATGATGTCACACTGGTCAATGACCATTACATGAAGTTAGTTAAACAAAAAAAAGAAATTGAGGCACTTTAATCATGGCACAAATTTATCACCTGAATCATCTGCACAAGCTGACTGCAGTTGGATGAAAGAGCTGCAGCATACATCAACATCGTTATATTCTGTGAATCAAGCCATGACTTATCATAAAAAGCACTTTGCAACGAAGCTTTCTTGACAAGATCATGCAAAACCCTCCTGCAACAAATCATTCAAGGGAAATAACTTTATATTACATGAATAAAGCCATGTGTTACTGCAACACCAATCTGGTTAAGAAGTAGCTACGAAATATGATGGTGGGCCAAGTAGAGAAAATTAGACAGCAAAATTCCACATTCTTTTGTGGATCTTGATCATCATCCAGATCAGACATATCAACATGACAAACTATCAACCTGATATCAAAGAGGTGGTGCCAAGTTCCTTACCAAGCCATCCTTAAGAAGATAAATACAGGGTAAACCTAAATACCTAATCATGGTAAGAATTACCTTAGCAACATCATTAGTCATTATATAAAACATGAAACAAATCATGTTACAACTGACATGAAAATTTAGATATTCCTTAAAACACTTCGAACTTCAGAAACATGAACATAGAAAATATGACAAGAAAAATCTTTGTTTTCTGGACATTTTGCATTGTAACATAATAAGCCAATTGAGGATTTAAATATCAGTCATGTACCAGTTTCGGCAATATATTGGTCTTATATTTTTTCCAGATTTTTTTGCATTGTAACATAATAAACCGATTGAGGATTTAAATATCAGTCCTGTACCAGTTTCGGCAATATATTGTGCTTATATAACACCATATGTTGGATGCCATACTGGCCAGTACTGCTAGGTATGGTTTAATAAAATAATAAAAATGATATTTACCAGTATTAAAATACACATTTCAATTTCAGTAATTGGCCAAACTGGTAAAAAATGATACATATGTAACAGTTCAACCAGTATTTAAAAACCTTTGAAACCATCACACCATAATGATGAAACTAAAGGATTATACAAGTTAATGAATTATGATTTTCAAATATTATCGTTGTCAAATAATGCTTCCTCGTTAAATTCAAAAATTAATGTGTTCCTCAAAATTCTGATCACATATCATCAATGAACATATAAGCTATGCTAATTGGATCTTAAAGAAGTCCAACTTGCCTTAGGAAGATTTTGTTCACATACTATCTTTGAAAACCAAAATACAATAGCCTGCATATGCAAACTATTGAATACAAATACAACATGCAGATACAATTATTTGAAATTTGATTTGAGTCTCGGAAACACTGGCTTCAGTCATATATTGGAGATAAACAATGGGTTATACTGGTTCCTTGTCATAATAATATATGCCAACGAACAGGTAACCATTACAGGCCAAAGGTAATGCTCTAAGATGGCACATTGGCATAGAGCTGTATCAATACCCTGCCGAATGTCATCCAACAGTTGGAACATTGGATACCACCCAGCACATGCAATTCAAGTTTATCATTTGTTCCATGACTTAAGTCACTAAATTATGATAATTTTTGGGTGATAATGTAAGCAAACTCTCAACTTCACAGAAGTTCTGTGTCTCTCTCTTGCTCTGTGTTATATTTATGATGTCCTATTTACTTCATATATTCATTGAAAAATAAACTGAAATAACTGAAATGAATTATCAGATCATCCCATGCAAAACTTTTTCAACAGGTGAACGAAAATTGAAAATTGTTAGATGTCCAATTTTTAAAAGACCTACTCGTACTGCTTTTCCTCTATGCCATAATCTAGATGAAGAAACCGAAGATGAGAAAAAGCTCTCTCTAAATCATCAGCTTCCATGAATTTCTTCAAAGAATCCAAATGTGCCATCTGAACACTCTGCTGCACCTTAGATAGTGCATCCATCTCCTCAGTTTTCACGCTGATTGCTGGTTCCAAATGGTAAGCCTGACAAAGCTGCACCTGCCGATGAATGTTTCCACATATCGCATCAAAAAGTTCTGCGTTGTCGAGGAAAACCTTCCACAAACCCTTCAACCTATCCTCAGACACCAAAGAAACCAAATCAAGAAGGTTGGCATCATGCCCTACATCACTCCATAATATACGTAAGCCAGTATCGAGGAGATCGTTCAACACTTCCACAGAGTTTGCGGTTTCATCAAATGTTTCCCCTTTCTTGTCGACGTCGGTATCCTGAGATCTAAGTTGGGAGATTTCGGATACCTTGGAGGAGGCAACCTGAATCAAGAGAAGGAACTCCACCCTTAAGCGGAGAGTCTCCGGGTCAATGCTTCCGATAGAAGCCGCTGCGTTCCCGAACTTGATGAGCTCAAGGACGGAAAGCCAGGCCAGATGCGAGGGGGAGCCGCAGGTGTTTGACCAGAGGACGCCATCGATGCGCCCTCCTTTCGATACAACGGCGCGAAGGATCTCGAGGGCGAGCTCCGGCTTACGCTTCCGGAGGCTGAGGAGCAACGCTCTGAAGGCTTCGAACTGGCCGAGGAAGAGATGGTTCGCGATGACTCGGGAGAGCAACGCGATCTCCTTCTCCTGGGCGGAATCCATCGGGATCGAGGGAGTGGGATTAGGATTTCTAGCAACGAGACGAGCAGAAGGATGATTCCATGGACTCTCTCTCGGTCGCCCTCGCCAAGGTGGACGGAAAAGCAAACGACTGCAGCGAGGCCGTGGAGGCTTCGTCGGAGGCACCCGGACCGCCTTTAATCGTCGTCGGGACGTTCCACGATATAAATGATTATGAGGCGGTTCGGAATATTTTTCTTTTAGCTACGATTACATTTAGGGCGAATTTTCGAGAGAAGCCTTTCCCAATAGATGTAATATTTTTCATATTTTCCTAAGACTTTGCCTAATTGATGTGATATTTTCGTATTTTTCAAATATTTTTCTATTTATTATTATTTCTGAAATATCACGATATAATTGAAATAGTATGGAGTCACTCTATGGATCGGTTAGATGACTTATTACATTTCAATCAAAATATCACAAGCATATTTAAAATTTTATATTTGAGATAAAATGAACTCAAATATCAAAGAAATTTTTTTAATATATATTTTTATTGATTTATCAACAACAACAATCAAGTATAAGTTTTCTAGTTGTAATATTTTTGACTCGTCAATCAAAACATTATATGTATATTTTTTAAAATATAATCAAAAAATTAATCGATTTACTCATGAATTCCTCCATAGGTATACCGGCAAGATAACTAATATTTATTTCAGGTTTACAGCAAGCAAATATATCTTTTAGAAAATAAAAAAAATTATACCTTTCGAAAAAACTTAATCATCCTTACATTTTACACTTTTCAGGAAATCACTTAATATATATTTTTATTAGTTTATGAATAACAACAATCAAGTAGAAGATTTATATGCTAGTTATAATATTTTTTATTCATCCATCAAAACATTATATGTATATTTTTAATATATATATTTTAAAATTTTAATCGATTTACCCATAAATCCCTCCATAGTTATACCTAGCAAGATAACTAATATTTATTTTAGGGATTATAGTAAGCGAATGTTTTAAATATATATATATATATGATACTTTTTTTGAAATCACTTAATATATATTTTTATTGGTTTATGAACAACAACGATGAGTAAAAGATTTCTATGTTAGTTATAATATGTTTTACTCCTCGACCAAAATACTATATGTATATTTTTTAAATATTTTAAGTTAAGTATTATTTGTTTCATGCATTATAGCAAGTGGATATAATTTTTTGAAAAATAGAAAAATTATAATACTTTCCAGAAAAAAGTCAATTGCCCTTACATTTATACTCTTTCACATAATATATATATATATATATATATAATTTATTTATTTATTTATTTATTTATGAACAACAACAATCAAGTATACCCAACAAAAGTAACTAGTATTTACTTCAAAGATTATAGCAAACGGATATGTCTTTTGGAAAATAGAAAAAATATGATACAGTCTGCAAAAAGTCAATCGCCCTTACATTTACACTCTTTGGGAAATCACTTATTATATATATTTATTTGTTTGTGAACAACAACAATCAACTACAAGATTTCTATGCTAGTCATAATATTTTTAACTCACCAACCAAAGCATTATATGTATATTTTTAAAAAGTTTAATCGATTTACCCATGAATCCCTCCATAGGTGTACCTAGCAAGATAACTAGTATTTATCTCAGGGATTATAGCAAGCTAATATGTTTTTTGAAAAATAGAAAAAGTCAATCACTTTCACATTTACACTCTTATGGAAAATCATTGAATGTATTTATTGGTTTATGAACAACAACAATCAAGTATAAGATTTCTATGCTAGTTACAATATTTTTTACTTACTAACCATAGCATTGTATATGTATGTATTTTTTTAATATAATAAAAAAATTTAATCATTTTACCCATAAATCGCTCGCTATTATTTATTTTAGCAATTATAGCAAGCGAATATATCTTTTAAAAAAAATAAAAATATAATATGTTTCGGAAAAAATCGATCGCCCTTACATTTACACCCTTTCAATAAGTAATTATCTGTATTTGTCTTGGGAAAATTATCAAAAAATTTCTAGTATTTTGGTTTACTTGGTCGAGCCCCATTTTGAAAAAAAATATCATTCCTCTTTTCAGAAATTCAAATATGCCTTAAAAAAAAAAAGATGTGGCTTGTTGGTGATCAATTGACTTAAGGTCTTTGGTTTTAATATTTATTTTCTACCCTCTTCCCTTCTTTTTCTCTTCTTGGCCAATCACTCCCACTCACATGGTTTTTCCTCGTACGTGAAAATAAAAATAAAACATAATAATCTTAGTTCTTCGCATTTTTCACAAGAAGTATGCTTGACTAGAGAGACCGGTAGAGTGGTTGCGATGTTGACGAGGAAAGGACCATGCAAAGTCGCCGAGGAGAGAATGATAAATGTTGACTACTTTGAGAAGTTGTTTCATAAGTGATCAAGGTGGCCAATGGCAAGGTTTTGTTATATTTATCATCAGAATGATATAAAATGTATGAAAAATGGTGAATAAATATTTGTTTTTGGTGTATTTTTAATGATATCTAATTTCGAATTTAAAATATTTTCAAGGTAATCCTAAAGACGAGTATAACAACGTTTATTTGCATATAAAGACATAAAAATTATCTATTACATTAAGCTTTCACTAATGTTTTATATTATTATGTAAATTTAAGATACTTAATATTCAATTTGAATTTGTTTCTAACATGTTTATAGCAACAAAATGTAACGATATTTATTTATAAGTATAATGATACAAATATAGTAATTTTCACGTTCAACTTTCACCCAAAATATAACAACATCTAAGTAGTAAATAAAAAAAATCTTATTTTTTATATTAGAAATAAATATATTTTTGATGTGACTCTTTAAATGAGTGTAAAAACATCCATTTATGATCATAATTATATAAATATTTTTCATTTCAATCACAAGTTTATTCGTGATGATATAAAGCATAAGTGAGACGGAAAGGGATCACCCAAGCGAGAAGTTAAAATTAGAAATGAATGGAGAGAGGTAAAGGTTGCGATGAAACTAGAGATCATGAAAGGTTGTTTCCGATGGAGAAACAAATATTGTTCATTGTAAAGAGCGAGGGAAGGAATTATCATTGATAAGTTAAGATCGATAAAAAGTAAGATGCGAAATAATGAAGGAAGGAGGAGGTCGTACCTTGGTTAACAACATAAATAGAAGAGATGATAGGATATCGGGAATGAAAGCAATGAGGGAATTAATTGATTCACATGAAAAATTATATTTATAAAAAAAAATCAGTTAAATTATTGAAAATTTAGCAATTATCAGTAAAAAACTATAAGTTATTTTAATAAATAGCTTTTCCTCAAAAATTATACATAATACTTAATTATAAATCATATTCACTTAGCTCTATGTTTCTTATTGATGCTAGTGTGATCACCCCTCGCTCATTATAGGTGTAATCATAGGTGATGCTACTTGTTATCTCCCACTGATTGTCAACGCTGATATTATTCAATGCCGTTTAACCTACGTAAGGAGGAACAAGAGGAGAAAGAAGAAGAAGAAGAAGAAAAGAAAAAAAAAAAGAAGAAAAATGGTAAATTATATAAAGTGGGAGGTATCCACATTGATTTACAAAAAGGATAATTTAGAATATATTAAAAAATAAACAAATATATAAATAATATAGTTATTGTAGTATATTGTGAATAGGAAAATAAGTTTAATATTTAGATCTTATTCTTACTATTTACAACCTCCTTATTATTAATATTTAAAATAAAAAAATATTTTTTTATTATTCACAATTCTTCTAATTTTACCTTTATTATTATTATTATTATTATTATTATTATTTTTCATTCCCCACTCTATGCATCTTATTATCACTGATTTTATTTATTGCTCGCATATCCTATGAGACAGTTTGTAAAACCCCAAAAATATGATATATTTTGGGTTAATATAACTAATATAGAAAATAATATATTTTATATTATTATATAACATATAATCATAAAAATGTTAGATTAGTATAATAAATATCAAAATGATTTCTCATCTCATCATCTTCGATCTTCAATTAGTCTAATTTTATAATTTATTTTTTTAATCATTTTATGTCACAACCGACGATTAAGAGGGGATGGCGGGTAACAAATAAAAATATTGTATTAAAATTAAATTATAAATTGAGAGTGTCTATATCTATTTATAAATGAATAACTTAAGGAATATTGAGAGTTCTCAGAAAAAAGTACAAATAGCAAAGTAAAATACCACGGTCTATTTCCCAGAAGACCCCGTGCGACGGAACCAAATTACGTAAAAAATCCCTGCTTGGCGGGAATGTGTTATCTCCTACTGCCTCATGGTAGGGTTTCCAGGCGATCCATAACGGCCTCCGTTTGTTCTATATAGGGTAGCCAAGTGAATCCGATCAATTGACCTCGAGACTTCGTTTTCTGAGGAACGCTAGAGGTTCCCTGTCGGCCGAGATGCCCACGTACAAGATCAGGGGGGTCGATGTGGACTTTCCCTTCGACGCTTACGATTGCCAGATTGTTTACATGGAGAAGGTCATCCGATCTTTGCAGGAGGTGATGCCTCTATCTGATCCGATTCGCCCTCTCAAAAAATTTCTCATGTTTTCGCAAGTAGTTCGATTTTATCATTCATTACGATCAAACCAGCACCCCTTTTTGACGGAGCTATGCTGGTTCAAGAACTATCTAATGTTTAGATGCAAGGACGGCGGCTTTTATACCGCTTTGATCTGATCTCTTATCGTTTTCTTCGTTTTTTAAAAAAGAGGATACTTCTTATGTATGTGATTTCTTTATCTGTTCCATGAATGGAGGCAGGGATGCAATGCTTTGTTGGAAAGCCCTACAGGAACTGGAAAAACATTATGCCTTTTGTGTGCCACACTGGCTTGGAGGAAGACTTTTGGTGATTTTCTGACTAGTGCAAATGAAGAAAGGAGCAACTTCTCTTTGAGTCACTCCTCTGGTAGTCAATCAGCGGAGAATGGGCAAACTAATTACCCTGCCATCATATATACTTCAAGGACTCACAGCCAGCTTAAGCAAGTAATACGAGAACTTAAAACAAGCAATTACAGGTAAAGGCACCATTGTTGCTTCCTTAAAAATGTTAGAAATACTTTATGATAACTCTCTACATCAAAACAAGCATGTTAACAGCAAATGTTAAACAAATCATGGAATGCAATTTGAGAACACATACTGGCTCAGGCTGACTTGAGCCAGTCTGGGTTCATAATTGTGGCAATATAGAAGTAGGAGATAAAAAAACTGAAAGGAGGAGGCTTGTCTTTTTGAGCTGTGTGACTTTGATGACACTTGAGAAATTAATGACAGCAAGAGAAATGTTGAAGAGGAGATATCAAGCCAATCCATAGCACAAATTTGTATGATTTTTGGGATTACCATAGTTAAACTTAGCCAATATATTACTTTAGTATAAAATTTACCCAGCATTCTTAATATTGTTTGTGTTAATATTATTTAATATCATTAAGTAATTCATGCTTGTAATGTCCAACAACTTTGCATGTAAAAGTTTTCAACAGAATATATTGAACATTTAACACTTGAAGAGATGCTAACTTTTAAAGTCATGCAAACATCACATATTTTGGTTATGGTAATTTGTTTTCTCTTAAATTGAGCATATTTAACTCTATCATCACTCAAGCTTGCAGGCCAAAGATGGCAGTTTTAGGGTCTCGTGAACAGATGTGCATCCATGATGAGGTGCGTTTGCTACGAGGTAGAGCGCAAAACAATGCTTGCCATTATCTTTGCAAAAAGCGGTTATGCCCTCATCAACCTGGAGTTTCTGGTGCGTGTTATACAATAGTTCTATGCTACTCATTGTAAGTTTTTCTTGTTCAATGTCTGTGTTTAAGATCAATTTAGAAAAGACCAGCCTAGTGCACGGGGCTTTCACCAATATGGGGTCTAAGGAGGATTAGTTTAAGCACTGTACACCTATACTACTACAAGCAAAGTTGTTGTTTTCATTACTTGAATTGTGGTCACCCAAGCCTTAAAGGAGTAATCTTTTCATGGCCAAGGCTTGCCATCTATTCAATGCTTATTTTTAACATTTTACTATTGAAGCTTCTGGATGCTTCTAATTGCTTAATTTGGTCCTTATAGTATCCGCTCCTTATAGTATCCACTCTAACACTTTTATTGAAATCTAGTATATTTATTATTGACTACAACAAAAACTAGCTTTATTGAGAACATAGTTTATAATATCTATTTATCTTAAGAAGTTCTCCATTTTTTAGATTGTGTTCTGTTAACTGGATCTACTGTATGTAAGGTTGATGCTAGCATCTGTTAAGAATTTTTAGTTTGTTATAGCTTCTTAGATGGGATTTTGATAGATGAAAATGCCAACAACAACAATAAGAAGCTGCAATTTTCCAACTATTTGGGGTTGACCACAGATTTTTTGCTGCCATTGAGCTCTATGTAAATAAAAAATCCACATAATATATATTCCTCCTCTATTCCATGACTAGTGGTTTTTGCATTAAAAGAATCAACATCTCTATTTACTTCTTGCCAATCATTTTAAGATTCATTGATTTTGCTTCTCAACGTGCCTTTTTTTTTTATGGCATCCACTATTTGCTAATTCTATGTTTTAAAGTCAACATCATATGTGGTTTTGTTTGTAGTATTTAGGGTGTAGTTTTGGACATTGAAGAAGCAATATAACCAAAAAAATATGCAATAGACAAGGATGTGGTCATGAATTTGCTAGAGAATATAGAGTGTATATGGTTGCACTCACAAAAAGAGTTAAGAGTCGTTCCAAACTGAATAAAACAAAATAAAATTTTCTAAGACTCCAATGTGGTGAATCAAAGTCATATTGCAGGTGCTGGGAACATGAGTGGAAAACAATACTGTACTATTGAATCAGTGATATTGGTCGACTATGATGCACAGTCACTTCTAAGAGTCTCAAACAGAAAGTTGTTATCTGTTATTATCTATTAATGAAAAATAGTGTTATATCTTCTACCAATCATCAATGGAATTATGCTGCAAGCAGTTTGATTGGTTATTTGAAGTGAATGATGGTCAAGCGAGGGCTAAGGGTTTCACTATTAGCTGGTTCTTTTAGATGTAAGTATGAATCTGCTGGCATCCTAATATAGTAGGAAACATTTTGGAATGTAATTGTTTGGCATCCAAAAAAAATTATGTGGATTAGATAATAAAGACTAAAAGATTCTCACTTCTTTTTGTTTTTTGCTTATGAAGCAAATGAAGATGATTGTTTGTTTCTGGTTATTCTTATCTTGATATGTCTTAATATTTCACTATTCGGATATATCTGGAAATCAGTTGTGTAAATAATATGGTTACTTAGGGTAGTTGGGATGTTTATAAACAAAGGTAAGGCCCACCTGTGATGCTTTAAGGCCTGAAGGTATTAACTGGTGGTTAATATGTAAGATAACTGATAGGTGAAAAATGAAAATAAAAAAAGGAATCAAGATGAAGATAACGGAAATAAATAAGATGAGATAGAAGATATGAAAACTATGATGTTTAGGGACTTCTTTCCTGTCTTGCATGTATTCAATATATATATATATATTTCTGTTGAGTAAAACCTTTCCTGCTTGAGTTTTCTTATTCACCTGATGTGAAATACATCTGGTATAAAAAGTTGAAAGCTCCAATTAATTCAGAAAACTCACATTTTAGTAGTAGGAGATTTATGATTGTAGTAGACTAGTAGTAAAGTTTTGGGTATGTCTGCTAATAAATAGCAGACAAAATAACACCTATCAAATGGTGCCACCTAATTGATGATTGGGCTAAGTAGGGCTTCAGCATTTACTTATGCCCCATGAACTTGTTTGCTAAAGAATGAATGGGTTTCTGAGATTTAATTGAATTGGGACAACCTTACTCTGATTTTTACATTCTTTTATTACCTTCAGTACTTTTAGAACTTCCAAAATCCAAAGGACTGATTTTAGAAACCTTTTTATAGTTTGTTATGAAAATTTATCAATTGCATTTAGTACTTTGTTAAGTGGTTAAATAAGAGGAGAGCTATTTGTGAACAATATACCTAATTTTGTGAACAGTAAAGTAGTACTATTTGCAAATAAAATTTCTGTCTTCATTGATTGACATAAATGCATGTTTAATACATTGTAGAGTACATGAAGAAACATCATGAACTTGGAAATGAGCCTTTTGACATCGAAGACTTGGTTAATACTGGGAGAACCATGGGGCTGTAGGTTTTTCACTATGTCTCTCCCTTTGTACATGAAAATTTTAATTAATTGTTATTTTAAAGAAAAACTGCTGCAATATGATGATGATATGAATATTTTATTTTATGGTATGAAATTGCATTTTCTCTTGCAGATGCCCATATTACATATCTAGAGAGCTTCACAAGGTTGTTGATATTCTGTTTGCCCCTTACAACTATCTTATTGATCCTGGAAACCGGCGATCTTTATCAGGCATTCAGTGGAACAATGCAGTTCTTATATTTGATGAAGCACATAACCTGGTAGTGAAACAAGAGACTATCTTATGGTCCTTTATGTAGATTGTCTTTTGTTTGAACCACATTGGGACCATGTCTTTGATCCTAAGTTGGAAGTATTAGCATCTTGGATTTGGGAAAGGCACTTCTTGCTTTTTAGATTGCATGTGCAATATAAAATTGTATTATTTAGTATGGTTCTTTTTCTGACTTGATACACAGGAGAGTATATGTGCTGATGCAGCTTCATTCGACTTGCCTTCTGGTTACCTCACTGCTTGCATTTCTGAAGCAAAACAATGTGTTGACTTGTGTATTAAAAGGAGGGTAATTGAAAAATCAGCTGATAAAGAGTTTGACCCAGAAAATTATGCTATTCTCAGAGGTAGGTTCTGTTTATGTAACTCATTGTGCTGAAATGTCCTATTAAATTTCTAAGATTGAGCTGCATATACCTTAATGCTTTTACAATAATCTCCGAACTTGCTTCCTTGTTAGTCAAAAGATATATGGTGAATAACATAGTTGCTCAAAGTACCCTTGTACTCTGAACTAGAAAATATTCTCAACTGGAATTCTCTTGGCTGGTTGAAGTATCCAAATGTGTTATTCAGTGCCAGTTGCATGCTGGTTCCTTTGGAGTTTGGACATCAAGCTGCATGCAAAAAAAGTACCTGCATAAGCTTCTATGGTGCGTGGTCTTGTGAATTTCCTTGCAATGTCCAGGCCTTGCAGCATGAGCTTGAAAGGCAATCCATGTGTCTTTATATCATTTAATTTTACTAAGATTTGCTTAATCAGGCTGTTGCCTTTAGCATTATCTTCCAATTTGTTTTCTTGGTGTTGATTCTTTTTGTTTTTTCATTTTACTTTTCACTCCTGCATGATTTCTTTTCCAGTCAACAAACTATTTTTTTGTCTCATTTTCTTTAACATGCTAGAGGCTTTTTACAATCATTTGTGACCTATTTAGCTATTGATCAAGAGGAGTAATCTTGTTGGTCACATCTACCCATGTGGTGACTGGATTTTAGTGAACTCATTGTATCAACTAAAATGGGAAAAACTTGTATTATGATCTGTAATATTAAGTTTTTGAATTTTAGTTAACTTTATGAGGTAAAGATCTTAGATATATTTGCTCACCGTAAGAAGATACCAAGAACTATAGTGCCAGTTTCTATTGGTTCGTCCAAGCACCAGCAATCGATCATATGACTTGGTAATGCTTGGTATATTGCTTTTTTAGTATTTTTTCCCGATACCAAGATGTACAGGTTGTCATACTGTTCAGTATCTTGGCATACTGATTCAACATGTTACTGGAACCAATGTTGAGCTGATATTTTAAAACTTTGTACCAAGTTTTGGTGTCTTAAATTGGTTTATTACTAAAAAAGCCGAGTGTTGGGTTGCTTATGCTTAAACAAACTTCCAAAGTTACTTTTGGACTTGTCTCGGTTTGTGGAATAGAAACTAAGGAACATACTCTTTTCTCTTATGCCAGCTGACAAAGATCAGCAGCAACCATTGTTGTGTAACTTGTGTTATTCTTAGGCTCCAATAATGCAATTTCTTAAACAGCAGTTGCCTCCCTGTGTGCCCAGCCTTATAGTGACTACTTTTGTACATACAGAACCATAACATATTTAGGATGGTTTTCTGCATATAACCCCCTAAGTACGTCTTTCTTGCAAGTGATTCACTTTGCAAACATGCCTTTGATAATGTCACTATAATGGGAGATGAGTTGTGATGCTCTGTTGGAGTTGGTGATGCAGGTTAGCAACATTGGTGGTGAGGAAGGTTTGAAACTTTTGAATAATGGTTGGTGTTGATCAAGTGTTCAAACATATTTGCTTGTGTGCAAATAACTTTAGAAAAATATCAGTATTGATGGTCATTTATGATAAAGGGTTTGTGATTTCTTGGGACACCCACACTGTTATCTTACTTAAACTTGGTACTTATTGTTTGTCTATTATATCAGCTTGTTTTTCATTTGAAAAATATTTGTGAATTGGATAATTTGGCTGCACTTTTGGCTTTCTGTTCTATGACCAATTACTTCACCAGAACATTATCAGACTTTAAGGTATATAAGATGATGCCCAGTGTTTTAATGATCCCTCAGTACTTTAAGCACTGGTGGTTATTTGGTTTTCGGATTAATTCAATACTGGGGTCTCCTTATGATTTCTCTTTTATGCCTGGAGTACCTAGAATTTATAACGAAGGGCAGAAATTAAACTAGCTGCTGCAAAGCCTTCGCTGTAAGTAACTTTCATATGCATTTGTTCATTATTAAAAACTACTTTTGTGCAGCTCTTCTACTGAAGCTTGAAACACGTATTGCTGAGGTGGCTATTGAGTCCAGAGAATTGGGTTTCACTCGACCTGGAGACTACATTTATGAGTTTCTTTCTGATCTGAACATCACATATGAGACAGCAAATATGCTTATTGATACGATTGACAATGCTGCTCTGCTTCTTGAGGAGGGTATTACATCTCCTTGGAAAATTTATTTTTTTTTCCATGATGTAACACAATTTAATTTTGTCATATGATGCGGTTCTTATGCTTTATACATATAAAGTTTTTATCTTCTTGTCTTCTTCAAAGTTATTTAGGGACATCTGATTAATTTTAACAGATTCATTTCTTCTCTTATTTATCCTTAATAACAGGGAATACGTCTGGGGCCGGAACAGGAATCAAAATGAAGGGGGCAGTCTGCAGGTTAGAGAGCATCAGGAATATGCTTAATATTATCTTCCGAGATGGTGGGAAGGATCATGCAAAATTTTATCGTGTAAGTTGGGCTACCTATGTATATATGTGTGTGTATGTGCAATATGTGTATACTTTTGATTGTTCTTTCTAAAAGTTACATCAATTTGTTTACTGATCACAAGGACATTGTTCTTTAAGTTTCATGTGCAGGAATCTCAACTAAGCATTACAGATTCTCTAAAAGGTATCCTTTCCATGGAACTTGCATTAGGAGTGAATAATTTGAGAGCATTGCTTCCATAGATTTCAAATAGTATAACTTTGGTTTCATTTAGAAGTATCATTCCTATATTTTGTAGTGTGGGACTGTGTGAATATTATAATGCTGAGAGGTTCTTTCACAGTTGACTATTAATGTCTTATTTATAATATGTTCAGGAAAGGTGTCAAGAACACTTAGTTGGTGGTGTTTTAACCCAGGGCTTGCCATGCAACAGTTTGAAAGGTTGGGTGTATGCTCTATCATACTGACATCTGGCACTTTGTCTCCTCTAGACTCGTTTGCCTTGGAGCTGAACTTGTATGTAATTTGTCAATACCTTTGTTTAGGCAAAATTTTATTTGCTATCAGTAATGTTTATTTATTTCTTGCTTCAACATCAGAGAATTTCCAGTCAGGTTGGAGAATCCCCATGTTATAACTCCTAATCAAGTGTGGGTTGGAGTTGTGCCAAGTGGTCCATCTAGTCAACCATTTAATTCTTCATACAAAAATCGTGATTCTCTAGAATATAAGCAAGAACTTGGTAATTCTATAGGTAGGTTATTAAAAAACATCCTGTAATTTGATGTGTAATTTGTGCTAGTTCTAACTTAGAGAAGTTTTTCCTTGTCTTAACTGCAGTTAATTTTGCTCGCATAGTGCCGGATGGCTTACTTGTATTCTTCCCTTCATATTATATGATGGATCAGTGCATTGAATGCTGGAAAGACATGGTATGAGAGCAATCTTTTGCTGACAGATCGTTAATGATTATCAACAAGGTGTTTTAATTTTTAGCAGAACATCAATCTCTTTCAGGGTCACGCAAGCTCAAGCGATTTTAGCACAATCTGGGAAAGAATTTCCAAATACAAACAACCTATTATAGAGCCCAAACAATCATCACTTTTTCCACGTGCAATTGAGGTAGCATTCTTTCTATATCTTGTTGGTATTTGAATCCATCACTACAGGATTGTATATATATGTACATGTGCTAATATATGCTGGCTCCTGTTCTTTCAGGACTTTGAGTCAAAAATACGTGATAATACCACTTCAGGGGCCATATTTTTTGCAGTTTGTCGTGGCAAAGTATGTTTCAGTTTGTCTCATTTGGCATCATTATCATAAGTTTCAGTTCACTTTAGACTTTCTGCATTCGTTGTCTTGAATTTATGTAAGATTCTTTGCCATTGGTCATAAATAATTAAGACTAGGGAGTTCCTTTTGGAGCAGGAGCATAAATAATAGGACAATTATTTAAAATTTTTATAGATGAATATAAAATTGCCACTGTCATTAAATGCACTGCTTGAGAATACTTTATTTAAGGCGGATTAGAATTTTCTGTATAATTGGATGAAGTTCGAAGTTATCACTTCTGTAGAAAGTCCAAGTCCTTTCTGTTATGTTGCTGCTCTTCATTTGATCTACTTTTGTGTATTTATTTAACACAAAAAAATTGCAGTTATACCCCACATCAGTCTGAGATACATGGATGATACCATATTTTTGGAAACCATATATCATGATTTTTTGTTTATTGACAACAACTGTTGTCTAAACTTTAAATTGATGAAGATGAATATTTATGTTATATAATTGAACTTTATATTGACAATATTTTGATTATAGTAAATATCAATAGATCTATGTTTGGAGCTCCAAGTCCTACGAAGATTCTGTATCTTGACTCTTGACAGTTAATTAAAGTATTAAACACCCTCCCCCCTTTCCTCTCGTTTCTTTAGTTGCACAAAGCACAATTAAAAATAAGGTATGCAATTTTGTACATTGGACCATATTGGTTAGGGTTTGGACTGGTATAGTACTGGGTCACTTCGTATGTTGTTGTGTACCAAGTTTTAGAGAAATCCTAAAATGGCTTAAAAAATATAAAATAAGAATTTGCCCGATACAGAGCATGTACCACCTTGCATTGGGCGGTAATAGTCCTGTAGTGTCTATGTTTGTGACTTGTCAAACTAGTAAATACGACTCGTACCATACCGGATGGTATTGCAAACCTTTCTAAAAATTAAACCAATGTAGGAAATGGAAATGCAATATGCTTAGGACCAAGGTATGCAGTTTCGAATAATACCGCCCGTACCGGGCGGTACGTATCGATCCGTCAGCTGACCGGTACACAGATCGCCCGTTACCGGACGGTGTATATATATATATATATATATAAGGCGACGTGGCCGAAAAAGGCCATGTCGCGTCACCTTTTATAAAAATATTATATATATATATATTATATATCAAGGCTTGAAATATCGTACCGTACTGGCGTTTCAACATTCACTCGGTACGATACGATACATTATACCGAGCGATAAACCGTTCGGTATATCGCCCGGTATATATATATATATATATATATATATATATATATATATATATATATATATATATATCAGATTTTTTATATATAAATTTTTTTTATAAAAGGCGACGCGACATGGCCTTTTTCGACAACGTCGTCGAGGCGATGCAATGTCGCCTTTAATATATATATATTGAGGGTTCAAGAAACGGACACGGTGCACAATATTAGTGCTTCAGTTACATATGTTAAAGAGCAGACGAGGAAATTTCTTTTATGTTGTGTGAATATCAGTATGGCTTCAACTGAGGTTGGCTCGTGTTGGAGTTTTTTTTATCTTTTTGATACTGATTTAGATTAAAGAAAATATATATCGACATATGTTATGAATATCAGTTTTGAATAATAGCGCCCGTACCGGGCGGTACGTATCGGTTCGTCAGCTGA